ATTTTTCCACATGACTGGGAATAAGGCAAGAAGTCTGCTCTTACCCCTCTCATTCAACATTAGACTGTGGACTTAATCAATGTAAGAAGTTAAGAAAAAGGAATAAAAGTCATACAGCCTGGAAAAGAAGCAGCAAACTATTTTTATTTGTAGAAGGCATTATTATACAAGTGGAAAATTCCAAATCTACAGAAAAGCCTACTAGAACTAAAAAATAAGTTCAGCAAATTTACAAATTGTAAGGTCAATAAAAAGTATTCATATTTATGCATACTGGCAATGAACAATTGGGAACTGAAATAAAAAAGGTACCATGTACACTAGCACCAAAAATCATGAGTTATTTAGGCATAAATCTAACAACAATTGCAAGGTCTATATACTGTAAACTACAAAATATTGATGAAATAAATCAAGAAGATAAATAGATATACCATGTTCATGGATTGGAAGACTCAATATTGTTGAGATGTTAATTTTTTCTAACTTTATCTAAATATTCAATGCAATTTCAATAAAAACCCCAGCAGGAATTTTTTTTTTTGATAGTTACCAACAAGCTGTTTCTAAAATTCATATGGGAAGGTAAAGAAACTAGGATAGTCAAAATGATTTTGAAGAAGAACCAAATTGGAGGACCATTACCAATGTCAAAACTTATTGTAAAGCTATAGTAATCAAGGCAATGTAATATTGATAGAAGCACATAAATATAAATATGTGTAACAGAACATGGATTCCAGAAAAAGGCCCACACATATAAGGTCAATTGATTCTTTTTGTTTTGTTTTGTTTAGAGATAGGGTCTCACTCTGTTGCTCAGGCTGGAGTATAGTGGTGTGGTCATAGCTCACTGCAGTCTTGAACTCCTGGGCTCAAGCAATTCTCCTGCCTCAGCCTCCTGAGTAGTTGGGACTATAGATGCACGCCACTGTGCCTGGCTTCAGCCGATTTTTGATAAGGGTGCAAGAGCAACTCTATTAAAAAAGCATTCAACAGATGGTGCTGAAATAATTGGATAGACATATGCAAAAAATAACCCCAATCCATTCCTCAAATCGTATGTAAAAATTTACTGAAAAAGATCAAAAAGACCCAAAAGTAAGACCTAAACTTCTAAAACTTTCAGAAGAAAATATAGGAGGAAATCTTTATGATCTTGGGTTAGACAAAGATTTCTTAGATGTGACACCAAAAGCACTATATAAAAGAAGAAATGATAAATTTGATTTCATAAAAATTAAAAACTTCTGCTTTTTGAAAGATATGTGAAACTTGTCGGAATCAAAATGGAGTCACTGTGTTAAAACTCTGATAAATGGGGCTGGAGGAAGCCATAAAGGAATGGTTCTCATGCACAAATGCCTGACAGCAAGAACTATCACAAAAGACTCTGCAAAACCCACAACCTTGCACAAAGGCCAATTGCAACCTTACACACACACACAAATACTTCTGTGAGGTTGTCTACCCAGAAAACTGTCTTTCCAACCTAGGACTCACCCCACCCTTGTTATTGACCCTTGTAGCCAAGAATTATTATTTCAGAACAACTTATATAATCAATCATTTTAATTTTGCCTTTAAAAATTTACCCTTGCCCCAGCCTTGAATAGGCATGTGGTTTACTATGGCACACGTATTACTATTGCAATGCCTATTCCTGAATAAATATCATTTTCTTTTAGAGATCTCCTCTGTCTTTGTTTTATTTTTGTTTTCTAGAGAGAAAGCTGCCTAGGCTGGAGTGTAGTGGCACAATCATAGCTCGTTCATTGTAGCCTCGAACTCCTAGGCTCAAGAGATGATGCTGCCTCAGCCTCCCAAGTAGCTAGGACTACAGTTGCAAGCCACCTTGTCTGCCTATTTTTAAAAATTTTTTTACTATAGAGGCAGGATCTCTGTATATTGCTCAGGCTGGTCTTGAACTCCTGGGCTGAAATGATCCTCCTGCTTCCGCCTGCCAAAGTGATGGGATTACAGGCATGAGCCACTGCACCTGGTCCCCCTCTCTTTTATTTAGATTAAGGGATATGCATTAAGAAATGAGCAGCTGTAGACTTGGAGGCAGTATTTGCAAATCACATATCTGATAAGGGACTATCTCCAGAATATGGAAGGAACTCTCAAAACAAAACAAAGCAAAGCAGCCTAAGAAAACACAGGCAGGAGACTGGGACAAGACATCAGAGGAGGCAGACGGATGGCAAAGAAGCACCTGAAAAGCACTCAACATTCCTCACGAGGGAAACCAACTAACACCACAGTGAACTATCACCACACATCTACTAAAACGGCTAAAATCAGAGACACTGGAAATACCAAGTGCTGGTGAGGTTGCAGAATAGCTCTGGGCTTCCATGCATTGCTGGTGGGAATGCACAGTGCTATAGCCCTCTTGGAAGGTAGCCTGGTATTTGCTAATAAAGTTAATGTACACTTACCAAACAGCTCAGCTACCCACTCCTAGGCATTCACTCAAGCGAAATGACTACTGACTAAAATATATACACAAACATTTATACTGGCTTTATTTATGATATGTCCACATGGAAATAATCCAAATGTCCTTCACCCTGGGAATGCATAAACAAACCATGTCACATTCACAGTAAAGTTACTCAGCAACAAGAGAGGTGAACCACTGATGAACACGAAAGCATGGATGCTCCAGGAGGGAAACCAGACTCCACAAGCTAAATGTGGTGTCATTTCACTTTTATGACATTCTGAAAACTACAGACAGAGAGCAGGTCAGTGGTTCCCAGGGACTGGGAGTTGGAGAGAATTCACCTCCGAGGGACAGGAGGGAGTGTCTGGGAGGCGGAGCTGTCTGGGAGTCATGCACCCACTGCCATATTTTGTTTGTGATGGTGGGTCCATGACTATATACATTTATCAAAATTTGAGAGCTATAAGCTAAAAATAGTGAATTTTATCATCTGTAAACATACTGTAATTGAAAAGAAAAAAGACACATAAGAACAAAAGTGGTCTCTCTGCCCTTATTTCCTTCTGCTCTCCCTTGCTGATTCCACCGCGGTGGTGGGGCGCTCCCACCACCGGGTGCACGTTTACCTCTGGACCTTTGCGTGGCCACTCCTTCCGTCTGGGGAACACCCTTCCTCCAGATGGCTGCCTGGCTCAGTCCCTCACCTGATTTTAGTCTTTGCTCAATTGTCACCTTCTTGAGGAACTGATTTAAAATCCTAACCCCACACTTCCTCCTCCCCATCCTCTCTTTTTTCCATGTCACTTTTCGCCCTGTAACATCATATCGTTTACTTTCCTGCTTCTGGTCTCACTGGCAGTCTCCCTACCTGGAAGGTAAGGCATGAGGACAGGGTCTTTATCTCTTTTGTTCACAAAGTATCCCTGACACCTAGAACACCTGGTCCACGCAGCAGGTGCCTAGCAAATACTGGCGGAATGAATGGAGTGCTTCATAGCAGGGAATGTATCCAGAGCCACCACCGGCCCAGTCCTGACCTTGGACATGGCACTGTGACAGCCCTCCCACCTCTCCAGGATCCAGTCTGTCCCCTGCAATCATCACACCAGATCCAGCTTCCCAAATGCCTTCTGGTGGACCCTGTGAGGCTCTGCTTCCCTGGCCCCTCTGCCCAGAGCATGTCTCCTTCTCCTCCTTTCTTTCTGTCCCCTTGCCAGGGCTGTAGGAAGACACCCACCAGTCTTCTCCATCCCATAACTGCATCATAAGGTTGGGGTTGCCTGAGAAGCTGCATTTCTGCACATCTGAGCTTTGCAGTAGGAAGAGCTCCAGAGCCTGCGTCCTGGAGATCACATGTTCTGACATCTCTTGGCATCTCAGGGCCAGGGCAGCTCTGGGGAGGCCCTCAAACCCTGCTGTCTTGACCTTGAGAGGTCAACACACAGTTTACCCCTTCTGGAACCCACCTCCTTCCTGTGGCCTCTCCAAAAACTAGCCAGTTCCCTCATCCTGGAAAGGGTGACCTTCCAGACAAACCTGGCTGGGGCCGACTCTGGGAGTGGCTGTGAGGATCCTGTTGGAGCTAGAGCCCGGCTTCCCCCAGGCACAGCAGCGGTCACAGCATGGGCCGCAGGCACCAGCGAGGCCCGTACCTTGCCCCTCCAAACCCACATCGCAGCCCCTGTGGCTTCCAGAGTTAAATGTATTTTTAAAGATAGAAAAACGATGTGAACACACTATTAGCAAACATCTGCAGAGGAGCACTCTCGGCTTAGCAACAGAAGCTATGGCAGAGAAGGGAGGCCTGACAACATTCAAACCGGGACTGCGAGGGCTGGAAATGCCTGAGTTCACAGGCAGGTACCGAGACACTCCCAGAACATTCACCAGCGTGGACTGCAACTGGGAAGCCTACTCTGACCCCATGGCTTCGCTGTGGGCCCCAGCCCGGGTGGATGAGTGTCTGCACAGCAGAACCTGCTTTGGGTCCCCATAGAGGGGGCAGGTGGGGCTCTGGGCTGGGGGCCAGACAGCTCTGACTTGCCTGTCAGACACAGGAAGGTAGAGATGCCCTTTGTGTCTGTCCAGGTCCCTGGGACACTGGGGCGCCCTGGGGACCCTGGAAGGCTGTGGAGGAACCTTCCTTTATTCATGTCCCTTAAATCTCTGCAGAAACACTGGCTGTGGTATCATCTCCATTGTGCCGAATAGAAACCAAGGCTCAGAGAAACAGGTGGACGGTCTGTCCATCCAGTCACTGACCCGTTCATACAGCCTGCGGGCACTGCTGGCGACACAGGCCACGGTCCCTCTGGCCCTCACAGGTGCAGGCTATGTGGGCAAGGCCCTCACTCCAGTTTAAGGTTCCGCCGTCCTGGCCGCCTCTCCTCCAACCTGATCCCCCTCCAACCCCCGCAGGCTGCTCCTGGGGGCAGGACCCTCCTTCCTCAGCACAGGGGCCCCTGGATGGCCTGCAGGGAGACTCCCCTGACAGATAAGGCTGAGTACTGGTAGGTGGTCAGGGGGTCCCTGCTGGGGCTGAGCTGACCTGGAGTTTTGGGACACGGCTGACGACATTCTACCCGTCGGGGTGTGGCTATGTGGCCTTTCAGAACACTGCCCGTCCATGGTTGGGGTGCAGTGCAGACCCACAGGAACCCACCACTAGCTCTGGCCTCACGCCTGTGGGCTGGCCCTGTCTCTGGCACTGACCCTCCCCCGCCCTGGCAGGCCTGACCTCACCCCTGAGGTCACAATGGTTCCAGTGTCCACAGCATCCTTTCTAGGGTCTGTGTTGTGGGGACAGCAGGCGTGCGTGTGTGCCTGTGTTTGTGCGTGCGTGCTCAGACGTGTGTCCTCAAGGGGTCCCGGCCCTGCCCCTTCCTTCTCTGGGCCTCAGTTGTCTCCTGGGAGACCCGTGGATGATCTGGCCTGGGTTATTTGTTTGCTAAGTCCAGGTCCCTGTGCGGGTGACAGGTCCCGGGGCTGGAGCTGTGACTTCCCCTCTGGGCCTGAGTCTGAACACCTGCGAGGTGCTGGGCTCCCCTCTGGGTGCTGGTGCTTGACTCCTCTGGGATCCTCTCCAGTGGAAGGAACCAGGAGCGGGGACAGCCTGGGAGCTCAGCCTGTGGGGCTGGGCAGGCTGTCCGGAAAAAAATCCAGCCCCCTCTCTGCTGACCGCGTGCCCGGGAACCTCGCCGTGCCTCACGGTGCACTCCTCCCCATCTGTAATGCTGGAGCAGGACCGAGGGTCAGCGTGGCCGCTTTCTCCTCTCGCGGCCTGGGCCTCTCCCTGCTCACCGCCCCGGGATTGGGGCGGAGCTCAGAGAGGGCCAGGAGCCAGTGACTGGTCGCACAGCAATCAGTGGTGGAAATGAGTATCAAACTCAGGTCCCCACATCCAAGTCTAGCGTGAGGACGAGTCCCCTGGACCAGTGGCACCCGCCGCCTCCCCGCCGCCGGCTCCGCGACCCGGCCTCCCGCGCGGCCGGCAGATGGCGCTGCGGGCCCAGGCAGGACTCGCGCGGCGGGAGGGCACGGCCTGGACCGGGGGCCTGTGAGAGGCACACGTGCCACCCAGCCCACGCGCCCTCCCCGCCGCACCTCCCTCCAGCCAGAGACCCGCAGAAAGGGCGTCATGAGTAGGGGTGCCTGGCATCCCACCGTCTTAGACCTGGGGCTGCAGGCACTACCCCCTGGGAGCAGTGACTGCCCGAGGGTGCCACGTGGCTCCCACCACCAAGCCTTTGCATAGGGCGTTCCCCCTCCTGCTATTCGCCTGCAATGAGGAAGGGCCGGACTCAGTGAGGAAGGGGCAGCTCCCTGGCCTCTCAGGCTCCTTCTCTCTGTCCCTGCCCAACTCCCTGGGGTTCCTAGGCTGCAGCCAGGTTTGAGGCTTTGTGCAGTGCTTTCCTCCTGGAATGCGCCCTACCCCACACTTTCCTAAAGAAAGAGCATTTTTGCCCTTTCGTATCTGTCCTTGGAGACTCCCACCCAGGTCACCTCCTTGGGGAAGCCATCCCTGATTTCTCTGGGCTCCCATAGCATTTATTCTCGATATGGTTTGTTCAATCGTGCTGGGCCTGACTGGGTGGGGGGATGGTGGGGGCTGTGCTGTGACTGGAGGTGACAGGAGGGGCCAGGTGGACACCCATGCTCCTCGTTCAGCTGGGTCCCACTACCGGTTCCCCTGGCTGCTGCCCCAAGTCCTGACTCCCTGAAGTTCCCTTCCCAGGAGACAGTGGCCCTGTTTGACCAGTGGACACCCCCACAGAAGACGTAAACGTAAGGCCTGAAGCTGTAAAACTCCTAGAGGAAAACAGGGGAAATGCTGTTTGACATGGGTCTTGGCAATGATTTTTTGGATATGAAGCCAAAGCACAGGCGAAAAAGCAAAAATAGACAAGTGGGACGACACCAAACTCAAAAGCTTCTGCACAGCGAAGGAAACAACAAAATGAAAAGGCAGCCTGTGGAATGGGAGGAAATATTTGCAAACCCTCTCTCTGATAAGGGGTTAACATCCAAGATCTATAAGGAACTGCTGTCACTCAAGAGCAGCAAACCCAATCAGCCAATGAAAAAGTGGGTAATGAATCGACATTTATCCAAAGATGACAAATAATCAACTGGTATATAAAAAGGTGCCCATCACTAATCACCAGGACATGCAAATCAAAGCCACAGTGAGATCGCCTTGCACCTGTTAGTATGGCTGGCATCAAAAAGACAAGATGGCAAGGGTTGGCCGGGGTATGGAGAAAGGGAACCCTTGTACCCTGTTGGTGGGAATGTAAAATGGTGCAACCAATATAGGAAACAGCACGGAGGTTCCTCGGAAAACTAAAGATAGACCTGCCATCTGATCCAGCAATCCCTCTACTGGGTTACAGCCAAAGGAAATGGAACCAGGATCTTGAAGATATAGCTGCACTCCCATGATGGCTGCGGCTTTGTTGAGGATAGCTAAGATATGGAAACGCCTGCAGCGTCTCTGGTCAGATGAATGAAGAAAGAAAATGTGGTATATACACACAATGGAATATTAGCCTTTAAAAAGAAGGAAACCTGCCATGAGACAACGTGAATAAACCTGGAGGATTTCATGCCAAGTGCAATAAAGTCAGACCCAGGAAGGCCAATTCTGCTTGATTCTGCTTCTACATGGAATCTAAGAGTCAAAGTCAGAAGCAGAGAGTAAAATGGTGGTTCCCAGGGAAGGGGGTAGGGGGGAAGGGGAAAGGAGGCGTTGCTGCTGAATGGGGATAAAGTCTCAGTGAAGATACGTTGCGGAAGTCTGCCGTGCCACATTGCACCCATAGTTAACGAAGCTGCACTGCACACTTAAATGTTTGTTAAGTGCATAGATCTCATGTTAAGTGTTCTTACCACAGAAAAACAAAAACATCCACCACTGAGCACTCCCCACCCAGCCTCTAGTGGCAGCGCTGGGATCCCCAAGTGGGGCTGCAGGGCCTCAAGGTTGGCCCTTCCCTAGCAGCTGTGGCCTGGTGGGGCTCTGGGCTCTTGCCGGGGCTCTGCGCTCCCGGCTGAGGGAGTGTCTGTCCTCTCTGAGCCTTGCTGCTCTCAGGAGCACAGCAGGGATGGACTGAGGCCCCCCTTGGGGGGCAGAGACAGTGCTCACCTCCCAGCCCTGGGCGGGTCCCCGTCCTGCAGATGGGGGATTCCCTATGCCAAGATTACCCAGGGAGGGTCCCACTGGCAGGGTGGGGCAGCCCCGGTCAGCAGCAGGCCCGGGTCCCCAAGCTGGGACACTGCCCAGGGGCTCCTCCTCGCCTTCCAGGGCTCCCCTCCTCCTCCACACCCGCTCCTACACTTTCACAGAAAAAAGAGTGGAGAAAAGGCAAAAGAAAGAGGTTTTCTCCTCCGCTTTCTGAAAATGAGATTTTAAAAATAACTCCTGGCGGGGGGAGCACTGGGAGGGGCCTTTCTGGGGAGGCCAGCCAAGCCTGCTCTCCCTCCTCCGTAGGCAGCCACCACCTGGGGCCTGGGGCCTGGGGCCTGCATGCCTCCACCAATAGGCTTCCTCTGCCGGACACCCTTCTCTGTCCCTCAGGAAGGCGGGGCTTTCCTGATCTGCTGAAGGAGAAAGCAAAGGCCAGTGTGTAGTGGGGGAGCTGCTGGGGGGAGGGGGTAATGCTGATGGCAGAGGAAGGAATGTCAGGCCATGGCCCCAGGCAGGAGAAAGGGGCTGGCTCCTACACGTCCCCCACATTTCCCCTGTCTCGCCGGTGCCCTCGGCCTCCTCTCGGCTCACTGCTCACCAGCCACAGGCCTCCTGGGCTGATGTTTCATGGTCCTTAGGGGCTGGGGCTTTTCCTGCCACAGGGCCTTTGCACACACTGCTCCTAAGGCCTGCCTAGCCCCTGCTTCAGCGTCATTCCCTGAGAGGCCATCTCAGGTCACAGAATGGACACAGAGTGTCCCCCGCCCACCTCGATACTGTCAGAGCTCCCTGCAAATTTCCCTTTCCTAACGGCATTTCCGTCTGGGTTTCTTTCTGTCGCCCTCCCAGTTTACAGTCAACAGGCTCCGGAGGGTGGGCTGAGCGCAGATACTCTTGCCCCCTCACCCCGCACTTGGGCTCTCGTCATTCCTATTCTTCACCTGCCATCACCTGTGTTTCTCTCTCTGGGGGGATCTCTGGCCACTGCTGAAGCTACCAGGGAATCCAGCTTTCCTGGGAGCAGCCTTGACCTGTGATTTGGGGGCGGGGACAGACAGCTCAGCCCTATCCCTCTGATGGGGTGACCCAGTGGGATCACGCCCCGGTGGCTTCCAGGATGCTGGGTGCTTGACAACGCCACTCCGGCTTCCCACCTTCCAAGTCTCTCTTCCTCCCCCATCCCATGGTGTTTCCTGGGATCACGTCCCAAGAACACGCCTGCCCTGAGTTACTGCCTTGGGATCTGCCTCGTAGGCAGAAGAAATGCCCCCAAAGTATCAATGTTCTCATGCCCGGAACCTACTTTTTATGGGGAAAAAGGACATTGTAGCTGTGATGAAATTAAGAATCTTTAGGGACATTATTATCCAGGTGGTCCCCCAATGCAATCATGTGAGGTCTTACAAGAGGGAGGCAGAGGCAGGTTTGACTACAGACAGAAAGGAGGCTGTGAGGCCCCGGAGGCAAAGGTTGGAGGGAGGCAGCCACCAGCTTCCGGCGGAGGTGAGGAAGGCTCCACCATAGCCTCTGGGGCAAGCGTGGCCCTGCTGGCTCCTTGGTTTTGGCCCAGGGATGTGACTTTAACCCAGGCTGGTGGTAATTAGTTACAGCAGCTCCAGGAAGTGCACACTCTCGGCTGCAGGGGAGCCCACATTGAGACGCATTGGGTAGGCTTCATTCTTGCCGCCAAAGGAAGGTTGTCCCTCCAGATGCTGGGCACATGGCCAGCCAGGAGTGGATGGCACGTCCCAGCCTCTCTTGCAGCCAAGGGGGACCACAAGACAAAATCCTCAGCCCTGGAATTTGAGAAGTGGTGTGGGCAGTGTCTCCTTGTGTTCTCCATAGGAAGCTGTCAGCCCATGACTGCCTTTGCCCCTCCTGGGCTGGGATGCAGTACGTGCCGCTGCACCTCAGTCTTGCAGATGAGGACACCCACCCCCGGGTGAGGGCAGAGCCACAGGCCAAAGAGCCTGGGCCCCTGAGTGTTCCCAAGGAGCAGAGCTGCCCTCGAGGCCTGCGCTGGCTGGACTGTTGCAGGAGGGAGA